GGAAAAGAAGAAAAGAGAGAGAAGGGAGAGGAAGAGAGAGACGGAAAATCGAGAAAGAAAAAAAGTAATAGAACGAAAACAAGAACGAGAAAACAGCTTACCTTTCAACGGAGGAATCCTGGTATATATGTAAATGCATGGAACGAGGAGGTGCACAAATGTTTCGCAGACACCGCGAAATCAAAAGGGTTGAGCTAAAGCAACGTTTGTGAATAATTATTAGTATGTTTCAGAAAAAAAACTACCAAATTACCTTGAAAATAATTAATATAGTTAACTGCAAGAGCAATGTGCTATCAAATCCTCTGTATCCTAACGCTGTATGGACACAAATATCGACCCTGTAACTGTTACCTAACTGCTGTATAAATTCGAATTATTTGGTACGTTGCAAAATACTCCCACCTTTGAAGACATTAATGCATTGACTATAAAGTGGAACTCCATCGCCACCAAGCATCCAGAAAAAGCATCATAAATCGATTAGCTTGCAAATGTGGTGTGATGAGGGACTGCTCAACCCTATTTAAAAAGCTGTCATGTCCTCTGCCTACGATCTAGGTACAGAAGGCTGATGAATGAAGCAGAATGTGCTCTTCTATTGACCAATTTCTTTTAAATTGCAAAAACGTCAAATCCCTGGTACCACCAAAAAAAGTCTGAACACAAAGTACGCCCAGCTACGACTGCGGGCCAATTTCGTCTCTCACTGTATGATTGAAGAATGGAAAAAATTATTTACTTCGTTTGTTCTGGCAGAATAAGTTCAGACATTTAAAAGAAAACTCAATGAAATTTTACGTGAAAAGTATATATTTATTTTGTATCGATAAATGATATAATGCATGAATACGGATATGTAAACATATAGGTGATTTGCTTGTAGTTATCTGTAAAAAGCATTATCTACGGCTAAGCTTATTTTCAGTGTAGTAAGTGAATTGCAAAAATCGGCACAGTAACCTCTTCCAAATAAACTGGTAAGAAAGCGTTTTTGCTTGCTACTGCAAAAAGTCCTTAATAAAAGATTGGCTGATAGCTCCACGGATTGTATCACGTTCCAAGAAAGCCAAAATCTGTAGTATGGTCGTTATCAACCAGCCATATCGGAATCCTGGTTTGGGAACAGTAGAGGCTCGAACTCACGTCCTTTTGGTGGTACTTCTAAAGCAGCAACCTGTAAGCCGTTGCATGCGGGCTGATTACTTGGCATAAAATGGATGATTAAAGGGAATACCCGTCTATCACGTAACGGAAACTAGCCATGGCATCATGCTTTGAGTTTTAACGTAGAGTACCCGTAAACAGAGCCACACCAACCAAGCATATACACAGAACGTTAAGGCACTAACCAGATATCGAGAGAACCAGAAAGCTAGTTGCTTATATGTAATTATTACGAAGGATTTATCCTACATCGATGAAGTGCATTCAAGTGCCCCGCTCAGTACGAGTGATCATACGACGCTAATGTGGATAATTCGATCAATTGTCAACGTCCGAAGAAAACGGAGGGCCAGACAAGTATATGGAAGGCAGATATATATTCGATGAATAAGGCACGATCGTCCGTGAATTGAGGCTGCCTGCTCAAGGAGAATCCGTAGAAGATTGGAAATCGCTCAAGATGATTGCATTAGATCTGATTAAGCGCTGTTGTCCGGTGAAGATACACAAGACGACTTGTCGCCCTGCCTGGTTGACGAGAGATCTTAACAGGCAATTGAGGAAGAAAAATAGGAAATGGAAGATATTCAGGGAAACTGGGTCACCTCGATGAATTCCGACGCCAAAGAAATCGGGCAAAAAAACAATCCGTCAGGCAAAGAAAAACGGTGAATCAAGAATCCTCCAACAGGCCGAAGGCAAGCCCAAAAGTGTATTACGCTATATTAACAGTAGATTAAAAAACAAGCATCCAGTCAGAATACTTAAGGATGGTAATGGCGGGGAAGTCATTGAGAATGGCGAGAAAGCAGCCATTCTTTGGCTCGGTTTTCACTAGGGAAACCGAGCTTCAGTTTAACAATGTGAACAGTGCTGTTTTAAACGCTGGTCCGGCGCTTCAATCTCTATTATTCCCAATATCTGTAATTGAGAGGGAGCTGCAAAACCTCAAAAAGCAAAGTCATCCGGTCCAGTCAATATACCAGCCACCTTCTTGAAAGAATTGGCAAGCGAGCTCTCAAAGCCCCTAGCGCACATCTTTCGTTCTTCCTTTGAATTAGGAATATTGTCATCCCAGTGGAAAATATCAAATATTTACCCAGTAAACAAGGCGGAGCCCGAACGAAGGTCGGCAATTATCTGCCCGTCAGCCTAACTTGCATTTGCTGTAAGGTGATGGAAACGATCATTAAGAAGGCGACAATTAGGTTCCTGGAGGAGAACAACCTACTGTCAGGGCTTCAACATGGCTTTAGATAGAACCACTCTTGTCTTTCCAGCCTATTG